TGCACTGTCCTGTAGGGCAATCGCATTTGCCTGCTTTGCAACCGCTGCAGCAGGTACACTCTGTAGCAACGATAAGAGGAGTCAACAAAAGGCACCTACCCGGCATCGCAAGATTCTTCGAGGGGAAACCAACGATGGAACAAGGTTGACTCGCGCAATTTTATAGCCGAACAGACAAACGGTATGTGAAATGGTGGTGATTTCACATAGCAGTCGGACAGCCAATCAAATGTTTGCAATGCTAACTCCGTGGCCCTCTGATTGGTGGACGTCTTGGCTACGACTGAAGCTATCGACTGCCGACTTAGCTTGAGGAAAACCTGTCAGACGGTGGATTCAGTTGGTTGCGTAGTGCCAAACTTAAGGAGAGGAAAAATTCCAGTCCTAAAGACCTCGTCGACAAACCACTGGGGCGTGAGATTTCACGTGTTTCCGTCAGTATAAAATGTTGCAGCTGGAATCATCGCCCAGTCGTCTCCTCTGGGTGGATCACCTGAAAGCACCGATCAGAATGGTCTGCTTTGAGAAGCATACACTTCTACGAAGGAATTTAATATTGAACTGAACTTTAATGGTCAATCCAACACTCTCTTCGGATGGCTGTTCCCTGCAGATGGGGGCAACTGCGACTCACCAACATTTTCAATGGAGAGGAAACTCCTTCGTTTGCAGGAAATTGCGTGTTTAGTGAGCGAACATAGGTGGACAACCTTGTTGTCTTAACTTCAAGAATTTATACCTATTCGTTGGTCAGAGGTTTTAGGGAATCTTGAGATTCTGGGAAAGCTATCTCTCGGAGCCCAGATGCGAGCATCTGGAAGTTGCAGTCAGTCATTTCAGATAAAAATCAGGCTATAGGCCATTAGGACCGACCGTATTCACTAGTGTGACTTATCGGGGGTTAGTTGAGAAATTTTTGATTTGACGTTATACATCCAGAGTCTGAAACCGTCACCTCACTTGCTGCATACAGCAGACCGTGTAAGTTGACAGCTTTCACTTTTCTTCTTTTATCTCTTAACTCCCTTCCCCATTTGACGACTATTTTTCGGTAGATCCCAACTATAAGCACCACAATTTACAGTCAAAGAAGTGACTAATGGCGTGCCATCGCTCAGTTCTGCCACTGTGAGTCAGCCTCTCAAATGTCATTCTCCCGATTCTACCATGACTTTTAGCGCTCGAACTCCGAAGTAAATCGGCCAAGCAGGTGTTGGTATAGCTCTCACCTCCAGAGATGAGGCTTCCTTACCCGGCCGGATCCTTGTAAGCAACTGTCTTTTTGCTGTTCGTCTGTCAATTCTCATAATTGTGCAGCGACCCAGTACTGGACCAAAAAACTATGTTCGCCAGTTTCAAAAGTTACTTCTTTCTCTCTGCGTCCAAGGGTAGCATCAATCATTGACATCATTTTTTACTATTCTGACAAAAACCAGACATAAGAGACTCTACAGATGGTGATTGATACACTAGCGCGAAGCCTTAGAACTTCACTGCACTTACAAGCTCTCCGTTCTAGGTCCGCTCAATGAACACTCATGATCAGATTTTGGGGCGGATTCTAACCAGAATCATTATGCTGTCATAACAAGCCTTTTGTGGAATAGGCAACTACGCCATCGGCAATCAAATTAACCTGTTGTAGCTCAATGAGCGTGCTGTCAACAGAACCCGTGATTTCATGCTCAGATGCTTATTCTGTTTCGGCAAATATGCCTGTCTTGCTGACAACGCATCGGTGAACACTTTGTAGTAATTTCAGAACATCTGAATTACAACCTGTTGAGGTTGATAAACAGTCTAGGTGTTAACTTTGAAAACCATTCTTTCGAGTATTGGTTTTCTACAATAACGTCGGTGAACTCGGTGTTCTCCATAGTTGGTGGCTGACTACCGCGTCTCAGAGAAGAGTATCCTCAATTCTACTTAGAAAGTATTGGCTAACTGGCTAGCCATCCTTTAGAACCAATCACAAGAGAAGCAACAGATCGCAGTTTGATACTTTTTAGTTCATTAACCTGCTCAAGGATCTAGAAGTCGATAAGCATCACATTTTTTATCTTAATATCGTGTCCCTGTTGACCACTGTGATACTCACCTGAACAAGGTACCATATTTTTCCCCGCCAATAAGTGGTGGGGCTTGAATGTTGTCAAAACTGGCTGGAACTTCGTTCCACAGAGTGCAACAATGGCAGGAAGGCCAAAGGAGAGCAGTCGGTGACACCCCGTGCTACCAAGCGTCCTGGGTGTGGGGGCAGTGAGGTGTTTCCTCTAAATGACCAGCATGTCCACATTCATGAAAGCGCCAATGCTGCCCCCATCCGAGGAAGGCCGGGTTAGAAGAGGTTAGCCCTGAGAACCACACACTCCGATTGCCCAAAGGTTGATCGTGATCAGCGGTTGGTTACTCACGGTACGTTTGAAGAACTAAGGCTCGCAATAGGCTCGATGTGGCTCAAAACACATCTGCTGTTTGCGACAGCATCAGGAATGAGACATCTATACCTTATTGTTTATGTCCTCGGGTTAGGCCAGCCTCCACATCCGAGCAGGTAACACTATTAAGTCATCGGCTCTGGACAGGGCCCCCCAAGAAGGCCCTGATACCTGACGTCTCGCCAGTCAAAATTTTGAGTCAAAGGCTCAAAGTGGGGTACTTGAAATAAACCTCTTTCCTTGGCCTTAGAAGTCAGGAAATAACATCTGCGCAAGCAACCCAGGAGCAGCAGCTGGTCTCTTTCATTTATCAGCCCCAAGTTAAGTTAGCACCTATGCCAATACAGTGCCACCTGCTTGCAGCCCTTTCCTGAAAAATTCGGTGTCGAGTCCAAGCCATCTACTCAGAAAAACTAAACCTCTAAATATACAGCGTTTAACGTCCATAATCTTCTCCGGACAGGTCGTCACACGCCCTTTCCTCTTTAGAAATTTATGGGTGCCGTGTCTCTGAAGCACGTACAAAAGAATCTATTGTGGAAATGCATCTAAACACGGTCCAAGACAGCTCAGTTTATCCACGCCTTACTCTCCGGATCTTAAGTGACTCAGAAGCACTTCCACTTATCCTCCGTGATGTGAATGTTGCGTTGACGCGAGAGCTGAAGACTAGATTATTGATTGATTGACTAGATTCCGGCGAATAGTCGATCGCGTGCAGTCAGACTGGCTTAGTTCGTGATTATCCGTTGCCTACAACCCCGAATCCGAAATCTCTTCGTTACCTCTGCAAACGCCCCAACAAACTGCATCAGTGACACTATCAAAGGAGCTTTCTGTGCATGACCAAGCACGGATATCACTATACTGGCCGGCGGGTTGAATGCCAAGTTGTGAAGAGTTGACAAGCATATAAGCTATCTCTGCGGGAGATGCTCGCGGAACGGACAACAGCGATCGCTCACCACCAGTGTGCGCCGATCACCAATTATTAATCGTAAGAATAATCTTTCAGAACAAACTTGAACATCGCATTACCTGGGACCTTCTGAACCGTAACCAATCGAGAACTCAGATTGTCCTGTAAGAAGGTCCTTTCCTTCAAGGTTGGCGATGTCCTGTCCCTACATCACTCTACCAGGAGATGGACCAAGTGGTCAGCGCGCGAATTTACTGACCGAAAGGTGCGTGGTTCGAACCCGACCTCTGCCTCTCGGCTTCCCCTGTCTAGGCTTGGGCAACCTGGCAGTGTCTCAGCCATCGTGCTTCCGTCGGGTGGCATGGCAGCTAGGCACCGAAAGGGTACTACAGCTGAACGATTTATATTTATTTTACATCATTCAACGACCTGCTACAGTTCTGATTGAGTTTATGGATTTCGTGGTTCGACCAGCCGCGAGTTGTACAGATTCTTGAATATACTTGCCCGGTTGTTTCCCAAAGTATACAGCATGCCATATTTCCAGTTGATTAACATACCGGGGATCACGCAAAAGCTTGTGATCTGTACAGGTGCTCCTCAGGCAGTGTAAGCAGACAGGCTTCTTATTCCGCCTTTGCTTGTTCAAAAGATTCTGAAACTAGAACGTCCAGTTCCCCCTTAGTAGGGGCATTGCTTGTTTAATGTTTCGACCGTCTGAACCTTCTTGGTCTAAATGAATAAATGAAGGCTATCTTGACGTTCTCCTTTTTGACTGCACTGTCCGCCGTCCGTGAATTATAAACCACGTAAAACCTTGGCGAGTTTCCAAAATCCTATACGCATGACCCCTATCAAGAATAAGTTAGCATACATGTGCTTGCTAGCGCATCTTTCGTTGACCACAGTGCTGTGTCTTGCTGACAGTGGTGCGGCTTCCATATCAGCCCTTGGCTTCCTGCTCCTCCTCCTATGGTAAATCAAGAGGTGCGGTAGCCTGAGACAGCCGTTCATGGGGTAAAAGGGAGATTATTGCAGCTGTATCTATAAGTTCATTACAGAAAGTTCCACAAGGTCACGCTGGAACTTTTGTGAGGAGGCGATGGGCGCCGAGGTCTAATAATAGATCCTGACATCCTGACCAATCAGGACATGCCTTCGTTTATAACGTAGCGCGCACGTGACATCCATCCAATCGGTTATTGAGGGCAGCTGGCCTCCGGACACAATGACAACACCTTGATGCAACATACCCTGAGAAAGGACTTTATGGTTGAGTCAATTTTAGAAACACAGATCGTGCAGTCATCGAAGTTCTCTGTGGAAAAGGTTACCAAATCGCCTACCACACGATTCACCTTACATCTTCATCTCAATTTACGATGGTGGAAACTAACGACGTGATGTCTGTATTGTTGTACGTGATCTGAGCCGCCTGATCTCATACCAGCCACTGATATCTAGACAACCGATCAGGTAGGAACACGACGCAAATCGATCATTTCATAGAAAAATCACAAGAAAATGGGGACTCTTGAATGAGTGACTTAAGTGAGGAATGGAGACCATCCAACTCGGGCACTATTTCGTGCCAAATGCCCGAAAAACGAAACCATCCACTGGCATAAAAACACAACAACGGGCGTATTCTCAAATGGATGTATGTCATATCAACAACAATATCTACTGTACACGGGAATGCCATTCCGGGATGATAATTACTGTTTAATAAAATGCTTTTTCTTCTTTCCGGGTGGAGCGTGTTTGACAATTCCGGCACCATGTTTGTGTCGTTTCTTTTTTCTGCAACAGTGAAATAGTAGAAATAAAAGAACATTGTAGCCGTTGGAAGGAGATCTTTCACTGCTCAAGATAGCTCAGTGGTTAAGGTGCGAACTTATTGGTCCGAAGGTCCGTGGTTCGAACCCGACAGCTCGACCGTTCCTGTCTAGGCTTAGATAACCTAGCAGTATCTCAGCTCTCATGGTTCCTTCGGATGGCATGGCAGTTAGGCACCGAAAGTTGAACGTCACTAACCAATCTTCGCAGCGTATTTCATTTTTCGCTCTTATTTTAACCATTAGATATGTACTGACCTGATGACGAGATCCCGAAAACATTAATGTTCGCAACTGTGTTATTTTTCAAACCATAGGAATATTCACGTAATGAACGATTATTGTGACTAAACATGCCAGTTGTTGAGGCCTGACACTGACTAATTCATCTGTTGGAAAGACAGAGGGGAACTCCCTCGTCAAATCAAATACGAAGAGCCATCTATAAAACTATCATTTTGACACAACATCAAATGTACTCACAAATAACCCTATACAGATTCATGTGGATTGTGGCTGACAAGGTAAAAACTTACGGCTGATCGTCTGAACTCTTTTGAGTTGATGGCAGCTTTACATTGAGGGTGCTCAAGTCGGACCCGTGCCCCACAATAGCTTGAGCCCAGTCGCTCTCCGATCCGTGAACTTTGTACCGCTCCAACGAGCCCAGTCCTCCACCACCCCCAGTGGTCAGCTCTTCGGACATCAGCTGGCGTACTAATGAAGCACGGCGGTTTATTTCGGCGTCATTCAGAGTTGATTGGTTCAAACGGGAGACTTCTTCGTCATCATCGTCCTCATTCTCGGTTTCGTCGTCGCCCTCGGAAGCCTCGTCATTTTCCTCAAGCTCTTGACCAGATTCGTCGAGTGTCATGGTTAGACTGCCCCCAACCTGAAAGAAAGTATAACGCAATCAATAGAACAAACAGACTCATGTATCAGCAAGCTGCATATGAAATCAACTACAAAACTGGGTGGTGTTGAACCAAGTCTGATTACCAAATTTTGTCACCAGTACAGTCAAACAAGGTGCCTGCGGCCATTCACTTACCGAAGTTGCTACCAACTGTGTCGCAGGATTGGCGGAGTGATCAGAGTTGCTGCTCGAACCGACAACTGAGTCCAATGAACGAACCAGTTCACGAACGAGAACAAATAACAGACCTCTTATCCGCTTGCTCCATCCAGAATCAGGTGTTTTGTCTTGCACATCCAAATCATGCGCAGCCCGATGTGCCGTAGCAGAAAGGCCACTGGTGCTGTCCATCTTCTTTTCTTCGGCCTGCGCCAGGACAACGCCGGTATCAGCGGAGCGACTACAATCCGCTGTTCTCGTTTTGCCGCTGTCACCCAAAAGGCGACCGAACTCAGCTGCCAGGCGCTCGACAGTCTTGTGCTGCAGGCCGAGCCCCAAAAGAATGACCTGTGGCATAACGCGAATGATAAGTTAGGGAAAGTATGATGTGAGAATGTTGCTAAACAAATTGTATAGTTATCGTGAACGATTCGGAGCTCAACAGCGAATGCAAAGAGTTCGACGGTTACTTTGGTCATACGGTCTTTACTTTAGGTATGGTGCTCACTCTTGAAGACAATTTCAGCCCAACTAGCTCATGATAAACCGTCCCATCCCACAGTATACGTTACTGAAGCAAACTAACAACTGTGGCACCAAGTGCGGAATATTTTCCAAGTATACCTGTTTTCATTCAAGCAGATACGAGGCGGACAACCGCCCACAGGTAAAACAAGACATAGCATAGACGGAGAGGAGCGTACCTCGAAACAACATATATGCAACCTGGAGGGAGCATGAGGATGTCGAAGCCCAGACAGGAGCAGTTAAGTTGCTGAGGTGGAATTCGAACCAGAGACCTTCCGGTCAGTAAGCTTTCGCCTTAATAAATCAGCTACCTCGAGCCCAAAGGTGAACAGGTTCCAGGCAAGCCGTTAATAGCGTTCTTTAATGCAGGTGTTGCTTTCGGTACGCGGCTATTCCACCGGCCACTCCAACAGGAACGAAGAGTGCTCCAAAGCTAACTCAATACACTTATCCCGTACTCCGTCTAAATTAACCCCTAATGCCTCCCTTCCTGTTACACCTCTATCGTCAGCCAAAGAAACCGCAGTAACAGGGGCCTTCGGTACACGAGTAATGACATACGGAAGCGTAAAAAAACAATAACAATGAAGATAATGGGGGGTTATATTACATCGAGCCGGAAAATAAAAAATCTTAATCACATTATTTTTTTCACTATAAAGGAACTGGACATTTCCTGCTTGAGTTACTACCCCTGACAGACAGGCTGAAATCGAGCATGGGTGCGATGTACAAGTACCTTGGTTTGGAACAAGATGAGATATTCAGTCTGTTCTACTGGGACAGAATAGCCTGGTGAAAGTTTTGCCCATCGGACCACGTCATTTTGGTGAGTAAATCCAGCTACGGAGGAACAAACTATGCGCAAAAATGTGGTTTCATATAGTCATCTACTAAACGCATCTGTTGCTAAGCTTACCGGGCCATCCGAATACTAAGTGGTTTCAATTGCGAACGATTTGATGATCCAAAAAGGTTCGAGTACTTGTCAAAATGCTTCTCGGGTTTTTGTTCTACTTGTCTTTAAACGGTTGGGCGTATACAGCCGAACATTTTATACTGTATCCAGATGAAAGCTATCTAAGTTTGGAAAGATTCGCAGATTAGTTTGCGACTTATCGTGAAAAACTGGTCCTACGCGAATGTCGAAGGGTATACCAGCTTGAACACAACTCGGATAACACAGTAGAGGTGGCATGCACATCAAAGAAATGCTGAATACTAGGGAAGGGGAACACGAATTCGAATGTGCTCGCGGTCAAAGGTGTCTATCCTAAAAAGAAGACTGAACCATTTGAGAAAAAATCCTCGAATTTTATATGCAAAAAATGCGTGAACATTGTAAGACAAAGCAGTAAAAGCATCACCAACCTGCTGGGTTTTGTTCAATTTTACTTCGGGCAGGCGCCTGTTGAAATACAGATGCGCTAGTCGTGGCAACAGATCGCTAACCACGTGGAAGTCAACCAGTGACCTTGTGTAGTTATGCAGGCGTTCCAAATCAATTCGAGTGAATACTGATTGGGCTTGGTCGGGAGTCAACTCTAGACGAGGGGGAGAAAGACACTCTCTTCACCACTGAAGTGCAAGAGGACTTATGCATTTTGGATAGATCACACAAAACGCCAAAGAAAATGAGAGTTCTTTTAGCAAACATTAAGTAGGGAGATCAGGTAAGTCTGATTGAGGGAGAATCAAGCAACTGGGTTCATGGGGACACGTGGCGATAGTTTCATGAATCACGCCATCTTCTTCTGTCATCGATGCAAAATGATCGCCACCATCATCCAGAAACAAAGCAACCAGCTTCGCAGCAAAACTGCGCTTAGACCGATCGCCATTGACAGATGGAATGAAGCCTGCTATCGAACTACATCTGCCAAAAGTATAAATCCCAACAGGAGCCCAGAACCTGGGATTTTAACGTCCCAGAAGCTCTAAACATGAGTATATCGATGTTATCATGTCGAAGAAGACTAAGGAATCATTCCGTGGACTATTTGTGAGCTCCTAATTACGGTTCGTAGAGGCCATAAGTTATGGGATTTCCAACGCTGTCCTTGCACCCCCCCTCCTAGATATATTGTGAGACAGTCACGTGTCGCCAGAGCGTATTTCAAGACTAACCGGTAACCCACAAACAGTCTAGAGCAGCATATGGATGACACATTCCTCTCGTTCATGAAGGAAAGAATTTGTTCTGGTCCCAGGTGTATGGTGTACTGGTTGCTAAGTTAAACAAGCAAAGTCAGATCACCTACCTTGACCAGCCAGATACCGTGTGGCCTTGTTGTGGACGAGCTCCAAGGCATAGGCGGCATCCATGTAACGGAAACATCCGGGCAAAAGGGATACAAACCGATGGACAAAGTCTAATGAGGGGGGAGTGAAGAGAAGGATAGGATATTGGAGAGGAAATTGTGCCTCAGACTGTGGGATCAGAAATAGTTAATCCACATCAACATAAAAAACGTTTCTCTAGTATCCTTTAGGGCACGGAGATCAGTACAAAACTGGGCCCTAAGGGAGACGATAATAAAATGTACGAGAGTTTCACGTACAGTTCGTCAAACACCAAACACCAGGTTATGCCCGCGTGTGCGGACTGGCATTTTGAGTGAAAACTCACACTCGAGATTAAAAAACGCGCAGCTATTCAATAAGTATTCAATTAAAAATCCAAGCGAAATAATCAACTGGGCCAACGGGGACCGCTCGGGTTACTGAACAGACCGACTGCACCAGAGCTGCCGGAACTTTAACATATTACAAACGAACTACTTATAAATAGTGAGTAGTGCGAATCGAAGCATTTGATACTGGTGTCAGTATGAAATTCCTGAGAATTTCCCGTATTTACCTGTTAATCAAGTTCGGTTGCACGACACTGATGCGAGTGTAGACTAGCAGGACAGTAAGGGAATCTGCGCAACTATCCCCCGCGGATGAGTGGACCACACACCAACAAGCTTGGTTTGCCCGATAGGCTGGATTGAAATCTCCCAAAAGATCAGGGATGTGAGCCGACTTGTTGGTCCGTTCGCATCGTCAGAGCGGAATTCTTGTAGCCGCTTGGCTAAAAGACCGCGCTACGCGGCTACAGAGGACGGAAAAGGGGTGTCAGGGGTGGGATTCGAACCCACGCCCACAGAGTGGACTGCGACCTGAACGCAGCGCCTTAGACCGCTCGGCCACCCTGACCACGGTCCGGACGCAGGTGGATGCGATCTCAAAGGCACACCTCTGATGCCCCTGAGGCAGCGCCATTGCGCAGATGGTATTATTATGCTGAGGAACATCACTACAAGCCAATCTGCGGTCAATGTGTATTTCAAACTGAATCCCTCGGTTTCTGCCGTAAAATCCGGCACTGCCTTGAAATCCAAAAACCCATAAGGGTCTGCCTCCCTCAACCGCTTCGATAGATTTCAATGGACAGCAGCCAAGATAGCTGACATGCACTCAAAGGACAACTTGGACAAGAATTCATGTGTATCAAGTTATCCAGTCCTGAGACCCAAAACCAACAGGAACCAGATCTACCTTAATTCCACTCGTTTCTCTAAGCCCTTTTGGAACGACGGTTAGTGTACAAATCTATCTCCGCTTTACTAGGATAACTTAATTCTGATTTACGAAAAGGTCCGTTCAGTCTTTGTCTGTCCACCGTCACTGTGGTAACCGCGATTTGCTTGCAACAAAAAGGATGGAGACCATCCTAGCATCAACCAAGATAAACGAAGAAATATCTCGAAAATCATGGAAGAAACGGTACAGCCACCAAAATGACTGCACACAACTTACCTTGATGGTACTTGCATAGCCAATTTTCAGTTTGGCTGAAAACAGATGATTCGTTGAGTTGTTTCAACATGATGCACGTAAACTCCCCGGTTAGTTCATTCTGTAGGATGGAAAATGGTAGAGCTAGCGCAGAATTCTTCGAACGCCAACGCGAGCGTACATGCATCTCAACACCGCTAGATCGATCTGAAGGAAATCTCCGTTTGCCACTGCGGGTGCCCCAAATAGCAAATCGTCACACAAAAGTTAGAGACAACCAGTCAACCTAAGTTCTATGAGGAACATCATGCAAACCGTTTGTTTGCGGTGATGGATACGTGTGTGTGGGCCTCTTGCAGTCGATTACTGCGACAGCAATCCACTCCGATGGGCCCAACCCACGGACAATAGACGCGCAGAAGTTATAATCAAGAAGGAAAGAGTCACGCACCGAAGGCGATATATCTGATAACAGGACGGTCTCGACTATGTGACCGCTAATACGTACCGTCCCAGGGTTTCTAATTGAAGATATTACTGGTTAAAACTGTCGGGTCGTTATCTTTTGACTGCTACCATTCAGAAGACGGTTGTGAGGGCAGAATTCAGCGGAGCATGCGAAATGTTGTCTAACCACGTCGGGTTGGGGGAGAAGCCAAGTTCATCTGTCGGCAACAGCCAGTTCCTCCTGAAGACCATCCTTAGCAGCTTAGGACGCTGTTCCATAGACGGTGAATGTCTTCCAGTCTTAATGGCTACGTTTATGATCCTGAGCACACAACAGTAGTACAGGCACCAGTCGTAACAGAAAAACTGATGTCACTGTCACTACGGCATTCCCAAGTCGCGTTCGGCTTGATCTCATCAGACCTCACAATAGAGCATTACCGTCTCAAGAAGTGAAGTACATAACAAGTTGGATGGTAATTTGAAAAAACAACGGGACAAATTAACTCAGTGTTGGCGGCAAAGCACCGAATCTCAGTTGAATCTCCAACTACATGTGTTGTACGTGTTTCAGTTGAAACGACGTTCGAGAAATCCAAGAGCTTCCATAATACACCTTTTAAGTCGATGAAAAGTCTGGACAGCGGATTTCCGGTTTCGTCCTCCTTAGAACTCATCAGATGAGTCTAGTCCTCGAAGTTCCATCAGCCTGATTTTGTACTTGAACACATTATGAGTGGTGTCAAATGAAACAAAAGCCATCTCTATACCTTGGATATCGTTCCACCTGAAACGTTGTTCAGTTGAGAAGGATTCGAGGGAATTTTGGCCGAATCTCCAAACCTAGTTTGCAAATAGGAGTATTGAAAAAATGATAAAGGATGGAGAGTGAAGAAAGTAAGAGAAGGGAAACAACTTACGACATCTGTTTGCCTTCTAATGTGACTTAAACCTTCCGATATAGCAACAGCGATGATATAGTACGATAGCCCAATACACGCCTTGCGCGCAACCGGCAGTGAATGCACTTTTATCGAATGAAGCGAAATAAGAAATCTCCGTGGGCTAAGCACCTGTTTGTTTGCACGAATTACAGGTATCGGGTGAGGAATAGAATTTCTGACAACCGAATGGAAAGTTACACTCGGCTTACATACTCAGGCAAGCAGGGTCGTAGTGAACGAACAAGGTACACATTCTACGCATCGAAGTCATTCTCCAACCCCTAAGTAGGGTAACAGTGTCACACACTCATCCGATCACCAGACTGATTCTGACCCGTCAAAGTCAACAGTTTTTCAAACTCATGCGAAACTCAGTAAATTCATAACCTGTAGGATGAATCTTCCGCTAGCAGGGCGTTTATACTCTGACCTGTAGAGTCTCTTTATTGTTTCGGTTGGACTGTATTGGACAAGGCACCCGAACCTACCGTCCGATCTTGCCTAAGTACAAGCTAACCACGCAGCTGATCAGCCACTCGTGGCACCGCGGTAAAGTGCACAAACTACTTGTCGGGATGTCACGGGTTCCATACTACCTACTGGAGTGTCGTAAGATGCGTACCGCAAATGGTCCCCACTAAGGATGAAACAGCTGTACAGTGCTTCTGGGCTCTGTAGCATAATTGATGAAAATTCAGTCGAAAATTACTGAACTTCCTCGCACCACCCGTCATGAGCCTCGCATATTGCGAGGTATTTCTTGCGGCATTCTTTGAGGTTCTGCTTATTTTCTGGCGTCCTATAGCAGAAATTGTGTGTTCCGCCGAAAAACTACCTTTACCGTGGCGTCTAAATGATGACTTCGTTTTGGTCAGAAATTAAAGCAAGCTCCTCAGGACGATGTTTCCTCATATCAAAGTACTTCAGTATTGGAAACAAAGAGTGGGGCCCCGTTGAATCATGAGGAGTGAAGGAAGATTCGCCACCAACTGTAAGTCAGAGGCAGTACAGACATAGGAAAATACCCAAATTATTGAACGTTAGTCTTTGGCTTCCTGGTACACATCTTATAACGTCTTGTACTATGTACTGGATTCGTCACCGTCGGCTAGGCTTGATCGGAAGGGACGAACAATCAAGCCTACGGACCAATCGAACCGACTACGCCGTAGCACGTCCGTATGAGGCGTTAAAGCCGGTTACAACCGCCTTATACACATCATCCATAAATTTTACGAGCGTTACTCACAAGCGTTTGGCGTAGGTAGACTGGAATATAACCTGAACGTTTCCAAAACCGTAAAAGACTCGGCGTCGCCCCAAAAGATACGCCAATATAATCAAGCGGTTCCGGAGCTCGTTCATTCAAACGGCTCAAAAGCGGTGGAAGGTTGCTGGGACCGCGTCGTTCGATGGACTCTGTTAGTAAACGTGAGCCAGGGGATTTAGTAGCTCCATCACAAGGTTCTTCAAGGTCCTCCGCATCTTCATCCGAGTTGATTTGGTCAATCTGTTCTTCCTCTTCCTCTTCATCCTCCTCTTCGTCGTCATCAACCAACATTGCTTCTTCTCGTTCAACTGAGGAAGAATTTTTACTCGTTGAACTCTTGTCAAGTTCTTCACTTGTGTCAGGCAGCTGCAACTTCTACAAATGTGGAGGAGTCACGAATGAGACAGAGAGTCAAATGTTTAAAGCTTCCACTAGAAGACGATAAAACGATTCAGGAAAACTTTAGAGCATCGCATCGACAGAAAAAAAGTTGTCCACGGTATTCATATAAAATGAACACCACCATTTCCAAAGAGATAGATCGTATCTGTAGAAGCAAAACAGACAGGCGTGCTGTCTGTTGGACCATTGACAAACACTGAAAATACATACACTCCCGACGTTTAGTGACGTATGACAATAAAAATTCAAGCTAACGTAAGTTTTAAGGATCCTCGGAAAGAAACAGCAAGAGGAATCCATGTGTGGAACACATCAGCTGATTCAGGCATACTCTACCCATGTGAGTCTGTAGATGAATTTTTAACACGAAACTGGGAAAGAGACTCTAACGACACCCTTAGTATTGACTGAAAGCTTCTAAATACTGGTTTCAGTAGCAAAAAGTAACAGCCTGATAAAGTTAAGAGTGAATACAGATAGATAAGTGCAGACGGACCAGTCCGGTTATCAACTTAAACGTAGGGCGTTCAAATGATATACTGAAAAAATGCAGCAATTGTACCCTGCTACTCACAAGAGTATTCAAAACCCTAGTTGGGGGGATAGCGTCCTAACCGTACCAGGGACAAACACTATTGATCTTAATCAATAGTTAAACGGTTGTACAGAAAATCTCTGATTTTTACATAAGTTGGCTTCACTTACAGAAGAAAATTCAAACTTATACGTCCAAAAGCTCTCTACTGCCAGCATACGCGAACTAGGGTCGAAGCAAACGACGTACCGAAATTCGGGAATTCCTTGCTACTTAAAAAATTCGAGTAGTCACTGAAAACAGTAGCTTGTGAAGTCACTATGGACAGCTGAGGGCGTCTGGTGTTGTGTTACGGGCACAAGCTGAATACAACACTGACCAGGTGCATGATGTTCTTGTATAATCCAGAATGTTGCATTTGTGAGACCTAGTCAAAATTTATGAGGCATATGACGACAGAACAGCCCAACTCATGATGCGCCAACTTGAGTTAAACAAAAATTGTTCATACGACAGGACGATTGCCCATCTTGGGGACACGTCTCCTCTGGATTTCATCAATCTTATCCTAATGTATGTGAGACGCCTGCAAATCACGACCTAAAACTGAAGTTGGAGTCGGTTAGACCAGAGATGTCCAAACAACCGTCCGCGAGGTTGACTAACACGGGCCGCAATCAGTTGGCATTCATATGACTCCATGCATAAAACACTTATAGTTTTGAATAGAAAGCTGGTAGTATGGAATAACTACGATAAGTTCATGGCATGCATAGGGTAATAAACTCAGGGGAACTCTTTTAGGAAGTATAAAGAACTTTTTCATAAGGAAACTATGAAAACTCTTCGACAGCCCACGACCGGTTTTGCCCTTCTTTGGGCTCACCAGATAGACGCAGTCCCCGAGTTTCCGTCAACCTTATGATCTACTTGAACCCAAATTGCAAGGAATACACTCATTTGCGAATCAATTTGGTTTTCACGAGAGACTCAACTGAATCTCTCGTTTATGATGTTCTCCAACTGAATGTGCTGCACACAGGCCGTCTCATGTTTCAGTTGGTGCGATATTCGAGATATCGCAGTATATTTTCATGAAGGAAACTACTCACAAGGTTGCTGGAAACTCTTCGACAGCCCACGACCGGTATAAAGAACTTTGTTGGGGTAAGAAACTAACTGTAATCAGCTTGTGTGTGTCCATTCATGTAGACACCCGAAAGACTGATACGTAAATACACAATGAATACACTCATTAGACGAATCCCATATCCGTACATTGTGCTCTACCAACCTGAGAGGTGTGAAGTGAAAATCGTCCGATCCGATGCACCCTAGTCCCAAAGTTTTACCGATAAGACTGCTGCTGATTCTTGTTTCATGACTAAGTACCGGCAAACTTCCAATGGAATTTTACGAACTCTGGAGTGAAGATAATGTTTAGAACAAAAACAAATCGAGATTGACCTTGATAGATCTTTAGTAAGTCAGTCAGATGATTTAGATCAGTTAAGCCTGAAGCTTCTGAAAAAAAAACGCTACGATTCGTGATTGGCGCAGCATTGAGGAAGGGATATCATGCGAACTGCAAATCGGAAACTTTGTTCGTGAATTCTGTAAACTTTCACGAGTTACTGAAACACCATCGGGATTGATTTTCGGATGGGAATGAAGATGAGAAGGACCTTTGGTGACAATCATTCGTTTGGTTATCCTCTGTAACGTGTTATCGACCCTGATCGGAACTGCGTGATCCTCACTCCGCCTGGTTAGCAACGCTACAAGATATGGCTGACAACCGATGTCAGTGGCGTTCTTGTTGTCAGTTTCTATCCAGATTTCCTGAATAAGTGTTTGGAGGTGTAGGCAACTCGGAATGATTGCAGTAAGCCAGTCCCTTCCCCATTCACCTTTATTCTTTTCTTCACAATAAGGCTTACAAATAAATCACAGTTTTACGACAGCGAATCGTCAGTGTTGAACACGGATGTTATGCAGTCGATGATGATGATTGTGTGGCAAAATCGATGATGTTTGGAACCAGTTACTTGCGCGAACAAACCGGTCGAAAGATGAAAAATGTGGAATGTTCTCAGTCCAGTAAGTTCAGAGATGATTATACAGGTTGTTTCTTCTTACGGTTGGAGCAGCCGACTTGATTATGCCATGTGAAAGGTTAGCAAGATTATGTTCATCACCAAACAATAATTTGGCATGAGTTCATGAGGTTGGAACAATGTGCACACGTATATAAGTCACAACTCAAGTTGCTACATTTCCGATCTGTCTTTCATACAGCGACTTATCAAAGTAGGTGTATAAACAACGACTCTGTAAGTGTGTCAAAACAATCATGGCCGAACAAAGGTAGAATGAACGAACTTGTTCCTCTCTAATTCAATTCACCGGTGCCACAGATTTTCCTGAACCTGGAGGCTGACAAACTCCGCAACTGTAGGCACAACCTACATTAGCTTTTCAATAAAGATGACATAGCTGTGAACACAATGGATATACCACAGCTAATACTTTCGGATCAATGAATGAGACAGTAAAAGGAAGGAAAAAGTATGTTTGTCCCGCAGCACTTACTACTTTTCCACCGTAGTAGTCATGCAGTAAATTCAGAGCACGTGTGCCGTAACCAAGGTTCTGATATTCCGGATGTGTGGCGATCCGTACGACACGTGCACCGGACAGACTGCCAAAACTGGGATCGCAAAACTAATGAGAAAGAGTGAGGAATTCAATTGAACGTGAGGTGACGATAATGCGGAACAGGTATGCTACTAACAAAATTAAGTTGTAGAGACTTGACATTTAGAATAGAGAAGGTACTCGAGAACTCTCCGACCTTGGATAAAATAGACAACAGAAACCCTATTGACGATACTGATGAGGAAGACTAAACGTCTATGGATAACTGGGATGAGAGAAGTGACGTTCGTCAGAGCGTACACAGGCACTGCGATTGGATTGCTGACGTAAAAAAGTAGTACGAGTTTACCTTTCCGGTGAAATTATACCAAGTTACTTACCCGCTCACAGGGAAGATGGCGGAGCGGTAATAGAATACACGATGAATGGGGACCCATATATTACTGATATTTGGCGATTAGCGTAGGTGCAAATGTGAGCCCAACACAGCTAAAAATAGATAACCTTACCTGCTGACTGATTGTCCAGGGTATCAAATCACCCGAAGGACGCAATCCCCGAGAAAGACTTCGCATGACACGATCTTTGTTGATGAGACCTTCCAAACACACTTGTAGCACACACAGAATTTCCGGAACCTTTCCAGATTCTGGGTTGTACGGGGCAAGTAGACAAAAGATATGATGAGCCGGAGCATCGGATAAAAGCTGAAGATCGTTGGGCGAGTTCTTGTAGTGGGAAGCCACGTACAGTGCCATCAAGCGATGAAGGAAAATCTCGGTTGATTTGTGATATGCGAACAGAGTGTCTCGATTGACGTAGTACAGCTGACACTGATCCACCGGGGGGTAGTAGGCATCCAAATTGCCACCCACATCTGACATCAGACAGGAACCGCAATCCAAACATAACAGTTCGTTTAGCCACGCTTCCACCGGGTCACCGTTCGCGTAACGAATAGCTTCGTTCAAAGTGACCTCATAAAGAACACGTGATGTGTCGGCTGGAAATTGAGGGAGTAATGAATTTTTTTTGTTGGTAGTGCAACAAATGCTTCATCGGCGGATACCAAGCGAATACGGATGAAATACCACCGTTGTGCAGTTCAACTTGCTCTTCTCATGAGGACGAGCTACGCTTGAACCAAAATGCAGCAGAGAATGAGGCTGAGTGCAGTAAAGCTCACCAGTGTCTCCACCAGCTGCGACCTATTCACTACAGACACTAAATGATGCACGGCTCAAAGTGTACGTGGTTACACAAGACCGAAATGGCTCTGTCCCAAAATTATCTTTATTACGAAACTATCCATGCAAGAGTGATTTGTGTATAAAGAAAACGGCTTGCTGATCCACTTAAGTAGTAGTATTTTCTGCACATATATCAATCCGTTATGAAAACAGCCACCTTTACTGCTTCATTACAATTACACTGGGATGTGCGCACTAAAAGAAATCCTCAGATAAGAACAAGGTGTACATCTGATTATCTGACGTGTATGTTGAGTGGCTTACTAAGCAATATGACAGCTGATCTATGCAACTCATCGTTGAGCGTCTCGCAAAACTTCTCCAATGCTCGAAAGTCCAAAAAAGGTTACAACACTTTGGGTGTTGTACTTGCAGAATGTGAAGGTATTCGCATCTGTTCGAGTATGTGTGGACCAGGCTTGGTGAACTGTTTCCTTGGGGATCTGAGTGCTCAAACAGTGCTGACATTCTTACTTCGCTTCCTGACCGGACGTTTGTTGCAGATACTCAAAACCAAAAATTTTTCACTACTCATTGCGCTAACGATGGCAAAAACAGAGGTCATCCTCCATAAAATGAATCATCTATATTCTTCAAACTGTTCATCAGCCTCTTTTTTCGGAATGTCTCGGTTTGGAGAGCTCCCTCCTGTACTACCCCTTGACTTGATCAGGTTCTCCGAGATACTGTCAAGAAGATTCTATAAATCCCGGCACGCCACTGTCCTGTTGACTTTATTTCTTTTGACTCAGTCGATTACTTCTCCGTACTTCACTTCTTGGGCAGCAAAAACGTGGTGACTATTCCGGCCTGAGTAAATGTCTGGAGGTATAGGCACCTCGGAATGATTGTGGTAAGCTAACACTAAGTCCCTCCCCCGTCCACCTTTACTCTTTTCTTTACAATGAGGCTTTCAAATAAATCGTGGTTGTACGGCAGTGAAGCATCGGTGTTGTACACTGATGTCATGCTGTCGATGGCGACGATGATGATTCCGGCCACCTTAGCTGAAACCAGTGTTTCCGCGAAGGAATACTAAAGTAAACATCGTTAGATGTCAGTGTTGATGCGAGTTTAGGTCGAGCGTTATTCAGCCGTTTTCCCCAAGAAAATCCTTGAAATTTTTTCATTATTTTAACCGAAACGGTTCATGCTAAATACCTTACCTGTTCGGAAACTCTTTCCGAGCGAAACCGGTACTGCTTCCTTGTTGCCGGAAGGCTGCGTTACTTTTGGATTAGAAACTGTACCCGGTAAGACCGGTTTCGGTTGTAATCGTATTGTGGTATCGGACAATCGACACTCCGTACGCAACTGTTTGATAAGTTTGAGGGACAAAGAACGCCCCGTGCCCTCATACCCATTAACCGTGGATGCCATAAACGCTAATCTCGGACCCGTTATGATCAGACGAACCAGGGTCAACGGGATTGCAGCCGCTTCGTCGATACAAACCAGATCAGCCTGTTGACTCCCAATCCCTCCCATCTGACTGGCCAGCTCCCAAGGACTCAAGTAGACTAAAGACTGGCGGTGGTTTTGTCGATGCACATCGATTCGAATTATTGCATGGTTGTAATTTGGATCGGTGGACTTTGTCACTGCATAATCTTGGTGTTCCTCGTAGCCGAAGGCGGTCAAGCCACGAACGACAAATTGCATCAGAGTGCTCAGGTTTTCTGGACTGGGAGCCGTCACATAGAGGTTTGGCAAGCCAGCTTCGATGGCAGCTGCTAGACCGAGTCCAAGGGCGGCTGACTTTCCTCGACCTCGACTAGCGGTAACAATCACAATTGAAGACGAAGCCTCCACTTGAGCTTGAGCGGAACCGACGGCGCTGAGAAGACAACGTGCTACAGACTTGTTGTTTGTCACTGTCTGTGTTTGGACCGAGGCCGCCTGGGATGTAGATGCGACCGAGGCGCAGAACTGAACTAAACCTCGAGCCTGGTCTAATGTGACGCATAATTTGACCAAAGGCGCAAAAGGTGATCCGTCCTCGGCCAAGGATACCTAGAAACCCGGAGGGAACAAACGCATGAAACCGAACTAATGTCACAGAATAACAGAGCGTTTCGAAAATAATTGGACGGTAGTAAAGAGTTGAGGAGTTTCGGCAAAAGCGCGCATCATCGATCATTATGTGGTCACTTTTTCATTAGGTATTAAAAAAGACAGTGTGAGAACTACCTCTGCGACTAGGCAGTCACTGGCCTCCAAATTCATGCATCCGGGCCACATGACCCTAATCATGGAGTCAAACGTATGAACCAAGTCCAAATATATTTTGCACCCACTCTCATAGAACTGAGTGACACACTATTCCCATGTCTCTGTATGTGCGTTCATAGCAACGCATGAACACGCTTCGGTCAAGAAAGCTAAACAGCTCCCACACGTATTCCCATAATAATCAAGTGACGGTCACACGCTCCTCACGTCTATTCCAGGCGTTCGGACCAAGATGCCAACAAAACCAGACTCAGGGTCTATGATACCGGTGGATTCGAAAAACGGGTTGTGTTGGACTTTGTCATCACGGTGGATAACTAGAGGAATATCTGTCTCACAACTGAGGTCCTTCGAGCTCGGCATAGAACGGTGATTTACATGCGAATTTACTGACCTGGAGGTCCGTGATTCGAACCCAGCCCCCGCAACTCGACTGCCACGTCTAGGCCTGGGCAACCTGGCAGTATCTCAACCCTCGTGCTTTCTTCAGGTGACATGGCAGCTAATTGCCAAAAGTGTTACAATCGAACGATTACTAATAATACTGAAGTCCTGGAAGGACCGGATGATGAGACTCAGTTATCCTGTCCATCGTTTATTTAGGGATTATAAATCGTAAAAATCTGGTCTACGAAGATATACTAATGACTGGCACAGAAATCACACGGACAGTAAACGCAAGCAAGGAGTTGTTTACACTTTTTCTGGTAAAGTCAGTGACAAAGATACAAAATTTGTAAAACCTGGAGGAATGAGTTCGAGATAGCTCGGCGATCAAGGCGTGAACTTACCGGTCGGGTTTGAAACTAACTCGATTGTTCCTATCTAACCTGACAGCATTTCAGTCCTCATGCTTCTTCCAGGAGGCATGGCAGCACCCGATGTACCCCGCCGATGCTACTCAAGAAACGGTTTCAAAATGGACTTCCCTCAAAAAACATTGGGGTTCAGTGTAGTAGAAAACACGAAACATGATACACTAGAGTGAACCAATCCGTGGATTATGCATAAGCCCCATAAATCCATCGGGTGTGTGTGGCTAGCGAGACGTGTCGTCACATTTAAGAAAACCTTGGTTTACTTATCAGAAATTCACCGTCTTTTTATTTGGCAACTGCGCAGTCCGTACTTAAACCCCATAAGGCAACCTTCGAGTTTTGAGTGCACCTGTGTCGGACCTTTATTCCAGATGGTGGCAACGATGGAATATATTGGTGAGCCGTATGTCCCGTAGATGGATTCCTCAAATGAAGCGCAAAAGGGCTTGTACGGCTTGCTGACCCTGTACAGGTTTAGCTATAACACCTTTCTGGTGCCTTGCTGCCATGCAACCCTAGGGAAGCACGAGGGCTGGATACTGACAGGTTGCCGAAGCCTAGACAAGAGAAGCCGAGGTTTTTTTTAAAAAAGGTTCCACATTTAATTCAACAGTGAGTTACTTAGCTGCTACAGAAAACTATGAATTTAGTCAACCCTTCCTAAGGGGAGCTTGTCTCAGGAAAGGCCATCCGACCAGATTCTGTGAGTAGTAACCGTCAGGTAGAGTGAGGTAGCAGTGCAGCCCAGAATCATACAGCGGCCAACTGTTAGACCGTTTGCGATTTCCAGCATGACTAACTAATAAAGGGGTAGAATTAGGGTTGGACATACAACAGCATTTACGTCAAAATTACTGTTCTTAAAATAGTCTTATGAACTTGGAAGCAAAAGGCAGGAATAGGCAGAAGGAAGCACAAACCTTCAGCTTTTGCAATTCTTGTTGCTCCGCTGTCAGTGGAACTGAATTTGTTGCCTGTCTGCCTGCTTGTAATCCAGCTAAGACCTTCTTCGATAAGGGTAGTACCTGCCAACGATCGTCCAAGACAAGACATCGCGAATTACTGGTGAGAGACAAGAGAAACCGCTCGTTGAATCGACAAACCACATCCTGGTGAGCTTCGGTTCGATAGCGTGAATGAACATCCTGAATAGGACAAATAGACCATCAAATACTGGAAACAAACCATTGCCATAGTGCATAATTGTCGAAGGGAATCCATCGATTTGAGGAGAAAAACAATCAACCCCCCACCACTGACTGTTTCGATGGTCCGTGCCAGTGTGTTCGGGGTAAGCGCTTCAAAATCTTGCAGAATGCACATATCAAAGGTTTGACCCAGAATCTTGTCCGTTTCATGGTAGTAGCACCATCGAATATCGGTGGTACAAATGAACTGCTCGAAAATTGTGGCGTCACTAGTCACGCCAGCCTTGCGTTTCTTACTAAACATTTTTGGTTACAAAGATTAAAAACACGACATAAACCAACTTGAGCAGCTTCAGGTTTTTCTTCCGATGCCTACGTAAATGAGAATGTACTGAGGTGAGGAACACTTACGTGCTAAATGACAACTCCTTTTTGTAACACCATAAAAGGCTCAGACGTCCTTTGTTGAATAAGGAATTGAGGATCTGGTGCATGATAGGAACCTGGAGAGGAGAAATAGGGTTGACAACCAAAGGATACTTCTTACTTGGTCTTGTCCCTTGTTACCCACCATGATGAACACTGTTCGGTGTTTCGATTGTATGCCATTTTGTAGTATAGTTTGGATTCGATTGTCCAACTTTTGCAGTTTGCCCATCTCACGTGCAACTGATTGGGGGCGGTTTTTCAGATCAACGTACGAGGCGAGATACACGGGAGCTGAAAACAGATCAGAAGGAAGTGGAAGCTTGGACATTTTTTACGGACCAGAAATGCTGTCAGATGAATTGAGTATCAGGGTTTGAAGAATAATTGTCTATGGCCGTGGCGCCTGAGTTAACCGTAAATGTTGCAGCTAATGACGATGGGCGACAAACGGGTGTCAGTCTTTGAGAATTGGTCTGCGGAGATGATCCTAGGAAGAGAGTAAGGGGGAGAAGAACGAATATGTGAAGGAGAAAAAGGGGAGGCGTTAGCAAAAGCCTGTTTTCATTTATCCACCCTGCTGTTTGCAGCAGGTAAGGTGATCCGACTAATGACACCAAGCGATGGCCGATATGGTGTGAAGTCATTTGTGATCGCGCAATTCATGGTCATACGTGAACTGAGATATTGCCAGGGCGCCCACACCTAGATAGAAGACGATTAGGGTTGTCAACCAAAGCCCTTGGCTCGAAAAAGGTAAGAAAGCGGTGATTATCGTCAGACCGACAGAGTAGTCATCATCATCACCAACAGCACATCAGTGTTCAACACCGATGCTTCAAGGTAGTGCGACGGAGTAGTCTACATTTTTCAAGAACGAGTCGCCACAATGTTACAACTCCCAACCAGGAGGCTGTCACTCAGACCTCCACCCATTGACCAACCTGGTATGAGAGGCTCAGTTATTACCACATTGCAGTGCGAAGCCGTGCATTAAGGTACAGACCCTTCGTGACAGTCCTCTATCCGGCGTTTTGAAGGATCTACATCCACCACCATAGTTGCTAGATCCTGGTATGGCTGTCCTGGCAACAAAAAGATCTGATGACCTCATTGTCAGAACGGATGGCTCTGACAGTGTTCTAAAAGCTGATAGCATAGCAACTTTCACTTTCCTACATTCACTTCCTAACCAACCTTCATTGCCGTGACTAGGAGTACGGAGCGGCTTTCCAGTCAGATCAACTTGGGGGTATTGAGCTACTGAAGCTCCTCGGAAGTGATCAACAGAATAGCTGTGCTTCGACAGGCCTGATTCCGGGAGAAGTGGCAATTGAGCCAATTGGATTATCTGAGTTAAGTTGTGTACCCAGAAGGAACGAAATCGTTAACTGAGGTTCACCATAGATGACTGATAGCCACATGATCCGATTGGCTGAACAGGAAAGGTGAGAGAGGACGGTCTTGTCTTACACCACTAGACGTAGTGAACTATGGCGAAAGCTTGATGTATAATTGTGCGCACCCATAAAAGTTTGCATACAGTGCCCTCATTAGGGATATAAATTTTCGAAGGGATGCCTTTAATTACCGGACACTGCCAAAGTTTCTGACGATCGACAGAGTCGAAAGCAACATTTAGTTTGAGAAAAACAACCAACATGGGACGTTTGGAGGAGCGGCGCTGTTCAAGAATTCGTCTCAAGGTAAAGATATGGTCGATGAATCCCCAGCCAGGGCGAAATCCAGCTTGATTCTCACGAATCCGTTCCTCTCGATAATCGACCAACCTGCGCAAAATAATGCCAGAAGGCACCCTAGATGCGACGGATGCCATACTAATGCCACGATGATTTTCGCATTACGGTCTTGCGCCCTTTTTGAAAACTGGGATGACGGTCGATGAACTGCATTCACTGGTATTCTGTTTTCGCTCCATATCTGCCGTTCATCGAGACCCTGTCACCTACTGTGAAGAACGCGGGGTACAGACCGCGCCAGGTGTGATTTTCGCATTACGGTCTTGCGCCCTTTTTGAAAACTGGGATGACGGTCGATGAACTGCATTCACTGGTATTCTGTTTTCGCTCCATATCTGCCGTTCATCGAGACCCTGTCACCTACTGTGAAGAACGCGGGGTACAGACCATCCGCGCCAGGTGCCTTGTCAATCCTGAGGATTAATATCTCAAGCTGAATTTCTGTTATTGACGGCAGGCCGATGTCTATGTTCCATTCAGGTCCGCTGAGTTTCTCCAGTGTTTGTGTTGAAGGGGATTAGATGAATTAGCCTTCGAAAAAGAAGTGATCAGCTGTAACATCCTTTCGATGCCTAGCTGACATGCCACCCGAAAGTAGCACGGGGACTGGGATATTGCCAGGTTACCCAGGCCAAGGCAGGAGTCAAAACTCAGAGGTCGGGTTCGAACCGCGGACATTCCTGTTAGTAAATTCGCGCTCTAACCACTCATCATCATCGTAATCATCAAAGACAGGAACATTGTGCTGAGACCGATGCTTCATTGCCGTACAACCATTGGGTTCGTCTAATTATGTATAAAGAACTAGAGTGAAAAGAAGAGAAAAAGAGCAGGTGAGGGAAGGGGCTTAGTGCTGGCCTATGTCAAGCACTTTGAGGTGCCTACATCTCCAAGCGCTCAATCAGACAGTCTAGAAAGAAACTGACAGCACGAACGCCACTGACATCGACGAGCCGCCATTTCTTGCAACGTCCCCAGCCAATCACAGGCGGAGTCACGGAGACCCCATCCTGAAAGGTGAGCACCAACAACAGCCAAACTCTTCGTGATCTCTTTCACGTACTTCTGTCAAGTCAGATGTTGTCCACCTCGCGGTTTGCCCCATTCTGAAGAAGGCACGCAGAACAACGCTCATCTCGGTAGACGATATTTCGGCATGAGTAGCACATAACCGAACCATCGTAGTCGGTGGTGCTGGATGTATTCCCCCACTGAATTACCTGACGTACAACCAACCAAATACCCGTTTTCTAATTAACTCGTTACCAACACGCTGACGTCATCCAAAACCAGCTATGCCTCTGAGGTATCGATGGTCAAATACCTAGGGACATCTCACATCATCTATCCACAGAGGCCATGTCTCGCACTCATACATCAACACAGCCCTTACTGTTACCTGGTACACGCAACCTGGAAGGTCTAATGGTACGCTTTTTTGACGCCAGAGCTGACGCGAATTAGGGAACTTGATTCGAACCTTTGAGATTCTCGCACTGACTGCATTGGACACATTTCCATCAGAGCTAATACAACTATCGAGGTATGTAGAATTTCCCATAATATCCAGTGATTCTCCTTGAATTATGAGGGACATGTTCGGAGACTGCACGTTTTCAAGCATGACTTTGTACTTTGAAGGTGCGAGGCGCATACCAAAAATGTGATGGCGGCCAGTCTATTCAACAGGATCTGTGCTTCTCTTAGGTCTTCAAAGATGAGGACAATGTCATCTGCGTACTCCAGATCGACAAGGCCCACAACAGCAACAGTTTAAACATCGGGGTTTTGAAGACCTTCACGTGTTCGCCTTATTATTTCATCAATGATGGAGTTGAACAAGAATGGAGAGAGTGGTCATCGTCGTCAGACACCACTTTCTGTATGGAAGCATACCTCTTGGCGAGTGAGAGTGTATGGTGAACTCTTTTGGAGATACAGTCTTGGTAAAGGGTAAGCGTCATCATGACTATATAAACATACCGACTACAGTACACTGGATCTCCAGAGTGCATATAATCAGGTTCCAATAATCAAGTCAGATAAGCCATTCACAGTATTCGAAGCCGGCGGAAACCTATACCATTCCTTTTGGAGTGACATACGTAGTCGCGTATTTTCAATGAACGTTAAACAATATGATCAAAGCCGAACAGGTGAAAGACACATTCGCCTACATTGATACCGTTACTGTATGCGGCAAAACGAGAGATGAACATGACCGTAACCTTAGGCATTTTTTCGATGTCGCTAAAACATACAATATTACTTTGAACGATACAAAAAGTAGCTTCGCAACTGAAGAGATTACTCTCTTGGGTTACAAAGTATTATAAGGTCTTATAAGGTATTATAAGACCTGACCTAGAACGCATGCGCCCTATAAGAGAACTCCCAATTCCACAGAACGGGAAATTGCAGCAAAGAGCCGTTGGCCTACTATTCACAGTGGAAACTGTCGTTTTCTGACAAAATTCATCCACTGGTTAAAACCAGAATATTTCTGCTTCCGGAGAATGTCCGAACAGCATTTGAGAACCTTAAACACGAACTAGAAAATGCAATGATGGTTACTGTCGATTACAACATCCCCCTCGTCGTCGAAACTGATGCGTCCGACATCGCTATTTGTGCATCCCTGAGCCAGGGTAACCGGCCGGTCGCCTTTTTCTCCAGGACCTTGACCGCAAGCGAGAAAAATTATTCCGCTGTTGAAAAAGAAGCACATGCTATCATCGAAGCGACCTGTAAATGGCTCCACCATCTCCTCGGGAGACATTATAAACTGATTACGGATCAACGTTCGGTCGCCTTCATGTACGGGAACCAACAGAAAAGTAGAATAAAGAACGACAAGATTGAACGGTGGTAAATCGAATTGACAGGGTACAACTATGACGTCGTCTATAAACCTGGAACGATAATAGCATTGCTGATACTCTATCTCGTAACCTTTGTGCCAACATTGATGGGACGGAAAAACTTGAAGAACTTCACAACATATTATGCCATCCCGGGGTCACGAGATTTGCACACTTTGTTCGTTCTAAAGACCTTCCTTTTTCAGTCAGCCATATCCGACCTGTGGTGTCCAACTGTTCCACATGCTTCGAACTCAAACCAAAATTTCGTGACACTTTTTGTGACCAGCTTATCAAAGTCACAGAACCGTTTGAACGTCTTAGTATCGACTTCAAAGGCCCACTCCCCCCAAGCACTTGTAACAAGTACCTCTTAACAATCATTGACGAGTATTCTCGATTCCCTTTTGCTTATGCTTGCGCCGATATGTCCATTTCCAGCATTATTCGTTGTTTGAGACCATCTGCCTGGCTCTAAAATCACACGGCTTGCCTGTCACACGTTCGGAGCTTGTCCTCCATGATGCTCTCCACTCTATTAGATCCCTGTTATGTACCAGTATCGATTGCACGCCCACACGAACGTTTCATGCCATTCACATGACGACGGTGGAGAGCATCATGCAGGAAAACCGCCCAACGTGTGACAGGCAAGCCGCGTGATTTTAGAGCCAGGCAGATCTTCCAAAGGGCACCACTAAGTCGTTCAGCCTATCTATTACATTGTGGATTATATACAGCGGTGTGACTACTGGCAACGCCTTTGTTGAACAAAAGTTGTTTGCGTTCAATGGACATGAACGCAGTACCGCGATGAGTGATTATAAACAGGCATACCAAAAAGTGAAAACAGATGACTAAAACAACGAATAATGCTGGAAATGGACATATCGGCGCAAGCATAAGCAAAAGGGAATCGAGAATACTCGTCAATGATTGTTAAGAGGTACTTGTTACAAGTGCTTGGGGGGAGTGGGCCTTTGAAGTCGATACTAAGACGTTCAAACGGTTCTGTGACTTTGATAAGCTGGTCACAAAAAGTGTCACGAAATTTTGGTTTGAGTTCGAAGCATGTGGAACAGTTGGACACCACAGGTCGGATATGGCTGACTGAAAAAGGAAGGTCTTTAGAACGAACAAAGTGTGCAAATCTCGTGACCCCGGGATGGCATAATATGTTGTGAAGCTCTTCAAGTTTTTCCGTCCCATCAATGTTGGCACAAAGGTTACGAGATAGAGTATCAGCAATGCTATTATCGTTCCAGGTTTGTAGACGACGTCATAGTTGTACCCTGTCAATTCGATTTACCACCGTTCAATCTTGTCGTTCTTTATTCTACTTTTCTGTTGGTTCCCGTACATGAAGGCGACCGAACGTTGATCCGTAATCAGTTTAAAATGTTTCCCGAGGAGATAGTGGAGCCATTTACGGGTCGCTTCGATGATAGCATATGCTTCTTTTTCAACAGCGGAATAATTTTTCTCGCTTGCGGTCAAGGTCCTGGAGAAAAAGGCGACCGGCCGGTTACCCTGGCTCAGGGATGCACAAATAGCGATGTCGGACGCATCAGTTTCGACGACGAGAGGGATGTTGTAATCGACAGTAACCACCATTGCATTTTCTAATTCGTGTTTAAGGTTCTCAAATGCTGTTCGGACATTCTCCGGAAGCAGAAATATTCTGGTTTTAACTAGTGGATGAATTTTGTCAGAAAACGACAGTTTCCACT